ATAAAACAGACTGAACGGTTTGTATTGATTCAAATACTGTAAATGTTTAAAAACACAAACCTTTCTTCAGCAGAATCAACAGACGCAGGAGCGCGGCGCGGACATATGACGTCACAACATCATACCAAAATAAAAAAGTCCTATGTGACATAACATGTTAAGTAATGTTTTATTTCGTTCTAACCTATAACTCGGGAAATGTAACGGGAAAAAAATCTGGATATTTCCAGCCTAAAACGTGTGATTAATCAGCCGATTAATCCGTATCTAAAGCCGTGTCTACACCAAGAGAACCCATTACGGGAAGTGGCGCGAGGCGACAAATCTTCTACAGTAACTGATGCCTCCTTCTATCCTGAATCTTTGAAACATGCGCTGTATGCATTGAAAGTGAAACCTAAAAAACAAGCGCGCATAAGAAAGCGATTGCAGGCTTTCGCGAGCTTCAGCAAATGCACTTGATGCTGCCCAGCCGAAACAAACCCCCACGTGAAATTGAAATAATAACCTGTGATATAAGATTTTGGCCATATTGCCCATCTAAATCATACATCCCACACTATCAACAGGCTAGGCTAAACATGTAGGCTACACTTCTTGTACTTCGTTTGGGCACCACAAGATGTCACTGTGGCCTCAAAGCTTACACCTCGCCTACTCTGGCTCGATTGCTATTCCTGAGGTAAAACACGCCCTCCTCATTACCCTACGGACAAAGAAATGTGAAAATAAAGAAATGTGGAATTAAATAAAGAAAAAAATACGCAAATAAATACATAAATGTGAAAATAAATAAATGTATAAATAAAAGAAAAAATAAGTAAATGTGGAAAAAAATTAAAAAAAAATACATAAGGAAATAAAATTATAAATAATTATTTATTTGTGCTTTTTTTTTACTTTTCTTTGTATATTTATTTATTTATATTTGCTTTTTTACATTTCTTTGTACATTTCTTTATTTATAATCAAGTCAGCTTTGGCATTCCATATCATCATAGTTGGTATTTTGGCTTTATATATATGATCAGACACTTCCACTTAATTTCTGAAAATCATACTCAAGTGGAGTGACAAGGTTTGGAGTGTTTTGTCCATCATCAGAACGGCCTCATTCGCGGCAGTAAATTAATAGCATCACGTTTTCATCAGTTTGCAGGTTGCAGTGTATTGTAGCTATATGAGCGCTCAGGTTCTCTTGTTGTTTAATACATTTGGCCAAAATCTCACAATATAAAAGATGAACTGCTATGATATTTAAAATGTACAAACGTGTATTGGCTACAACTAGACAGCAAATGCTAAGACTCTTCTCTGCTCTTTAAACACACAAAAACATTAGCCTTTATAGACAGCATTTCTTGAGTAAAGGAAACGCTGTACTTGTTCAAACATTAGTTTTTTATTTACCCTTGCATTGCAAAGTAGACGTCTGTCTTCAAACTGCGTGTCGCGGCACTTCATTCTGAATGGAAGCGGTGTGGAGTTATGAGGTTTGACTGACAATTTGTGGATCCAATGGCATTACGAGGTTCAGTCACAAGCTCTTTTGAATGCTTTTCATTGGTTAAATATTTGTAAAAACCCACAAACAGACAATGACCAATAGCACTGATTTAAAATAATAACGAAATGGAGATAAGGAAGTTTTTGATAATTTTCCAGGCACACCCAACAACCTGTCACAGCACACTAGTGTGCTGTGGCACAGTGGTTGGGAAACACTGAATTAGGTCAACCGGAACCGGGAACACTTCCCATTAACACCCAATGTACTCACTAAATCATAAGAATAGCATCTATGCTAATATTACTTTCTTTCAGTCTTATTCCGAGGTCACCATAGCCACCCAAATCCAGTCCATATCCAGACCAGATGGTGGATCAGCACCTAGAGACGACCTCTACAGCCCTGAATGTCAGCGGAGACCATAGGTGCTTCTCAAACGGAAGGCAGCGTCCTTCCTAGTTCAGTCCTTCAGAGTCTTGTAGGCTGGAGTCCTCCTCTGCATTAAACGCTAGAATGAGACGGTCTAGTAAGTGCGCATGGCTGCATCACATATGTATTTATAATACTTTGTATTACAAATCTTTATATTATTTGGCTTTCTATTAATGCAATGCAATGAATCACAGATGTCTACAGTCTCCCCGTGGCTTACATTATTGGCAGTTTAGCACTTAGTGAGTAATTCACACCAAAACAAAAAATAACATTATACTTTCATGTCCGAAAGCACCCTATGTTGAGAAGCACCCCATGTCAACTAGATGAGCCCCAGAAACAGATCCACTGTGAAGACCACGTCAACTAGACGGCCATCAGGACAAGACCACGGGAACCAGACGAGTCCTCTGCACAATGGAATTAAACTGCAGGTTTCGTCTGGCCAGAGGAGAACTGGCCCCCCGACTGAGCCTGTTTTTTTTCTCCATTTCTGTCACCGATGGAGTTTTGGTTCCTTGCCACTGTTGCCTTTGGCTTGCTTAGTTGGGGACGCTTGACTGATTGCACAGACACTATTGGAAGAGAGCTGAACTGGATAATGGCATCACTGAATAATCAATGAATTGACTTTAACTGAAAAATGACTCTTCGTTATTGTCCTCTTGCATTATTGACAAACTATTTTTCTGACACTCTAAAGCTGCTTTGACACAATCTGTTTTGTATAAAGCGATATATAAATAAAGGTGATTGACTCAATGTTGTAAACTCTAGGGGTAAGGCTTCTAAACCGGGGTGTTTTTAGGGGCATGATACTCAAACGATTGTTTTCAGCCACCACATTTATCAATGTACGATCATTCGCACGATGGAATTGGCAGGATACGAATGTTTCATGAAGAGAACCCTGTCGTAAGTTGATTTGTGCCCTTGGATCTGTGCTCGTCTCTACATTGAATTGATAAATGAGGCCCATTTTAAGGAATAAGCATGCACTACAAATGTAATATGAAAGTTTATACTGTAACATGATGAATGTCACAGTCTAAGTGTGCTTTTACACTAGCACTTTTGGTGCGCACCCGGGTTCGATCGACGTCAGAGTTCGGTTCGTTTGGATGATGTGAACTTGTGAACCCGCGAACCGTACCCAAGTCTGCTTAAAAAGGGTGGTCTGGGGTTCGGTTCATGTGAACTCCGGCACGGTTCGCTGCTGATGTGAACGCAATCGTAATAAATCACGGAAGTGAACCGCTATTAATGACGTATTATTTGATAAAAATGTTTGTGTGTTTCACTCACTTTCCTGACGAGTGTGACACGCTGTAAGCAGAGAGCTGTATATCTCATTTCTGTTTGCCTTTAGCATTCTTTAGAGCATTTGTAGTACATTTGTAAGACAGACGTAAGTGCGTTTATGTACTGAAGCTTTGGAAACAAAACCAA